TTCCCGTTTCCCACATCTTTTCCAAAATAGGAATTTCCAGGAAGAACTATTTTTTATATATAGATACTACTTTTCCTGTTCTAAATCCTAACCTGGATCTTCTGTTGGGATGGCACTCAACTACAGACAAATACTTATCTCGCAGCAGGTAAAGATGCAGGAGATGAAACAGTCCCCCTTTCATGGGGGCTATTTCAAATCAAATCTCAGATCTTTTTTTTCTTTTTTTTAAGGCAACAACAAAAATGGCTTTTAAGTGCTCACAGCCCATAAAGAAACTGTAAAACCCAGCAGAGAGAAAAGAGCGATGGAGCCCTGGCTTCCTGCTGCTTGACTTTCAAATGCAAAGCCAGTACAACCTTTCCCCATCCCAGTTTAATTAACAGCTTGTAATGCTGGGATGTGAGAGGCTTTTTGGGGTAGGTACGCTCGGGCACCATTTATTACAGCAAAACTGATAGAAACTCTGCGTTTGAACTATGTTGTATGAAATAAGTGTGCCCTGTCACATTTAGCCTCTAGCCCTCGATGATAACCAGGTCCAGAGAGGCCACTGGTGGTGGGCTGTGGGCTACCAGGGCTGTGGGGGTCCCCAAGAAGCCCCCGGGGGTAGAAAAATTCCAGAGAAGGTTTTTTTGGAAGCCTCGAAGGGTTTTTTCTGGAGAGAAAACTGAGCTTGCAGGGAATTCAGAACTAACTGCTGAGTTGATGTGTTTGGGAGTTTGTAAATCGGTAATGGGCTTAAACCACCGGGTTAACGGGCATTTTTTTGGGGGGTGGAGGGGGGGGACAATCCAGAAATGTGAACGTCCCCTTGTTCAGTCACTGCTGGGTAAATAACAGAGCGGAGAGAGGGAGGGGAGGGAGTTAAGGCAGTGGATCCATTTTGCCTTTGAGAAGGTCCTGGGTGGCACGACCAAAACCTTCTCCAGCCATGGGCTTCCTCCACTCCCCAACACCGAGCCCTCCCTGAGGACACAGCAGGGAAACTGAGGACAGGGAACCCCACCAGTGCTCCCAGTTGGGAATCCTCTCAGCCTTTTATACACTTCAATCAACCCCGGAGGTCACTGGTGGCTATTTAATTAGAGAGCGGCCCCATTTCACAGCCTGGACATCCCATGGTGGCATCTCAGAGAGACATGGAAGACGTAGTCCCTGCCCCGAAGAGAACATCACAGGAACTTTTTTTTCTGGTGATTTAATCGTAATATTGACAACTTTATCAAAAAATTACAAAACTGATATTTAAAAAAATCTCTAATTCTTAGTAAGACTAGAATGGGTTTTGTTTTTTTTTTTTCTTGTTGTTTTTGTTTTTTTTTTCTTTTTAAAAATAGAAAAGCACTTTTATGCTACGGCTCTTCTGGAATTCTCACATTACAACCCTACATAGCAAAATACAAACTGTAGCTAAGAAAGGTACCAAGTCCTAAGGTCATTCAGTCCACCACGAGCCCTCTAATATCTCTAGACCATCAAACTCAGGGACTCTGAAAGGATATCGCGTCACTTAGAAACCTTCTGCAAAGCTGATGGAAGAAATACCTTTAAATTTAAAGTCCTTTTTAACCCCTAAAAGCTTAGACTGTGAGGAGAACAGGACCAGGGACATCAGAGGTGGGGTGGGCTTTTTTTGATTTATCTTTTTTTTTTTTTTTTTTTTTTTTTAACGATGGGGATTTTTTTTAAAAAAAAAAAAAAAAAAAAAAAAAAAAAAAGTTTTTAATTTTTTAAACGATGGGGATATTATTTTTGCAGCTGATACCAGCCAAATGTTTGCTGTCAGAAGTGAAAATATGAAGAAAATCCATCGAAATAAATGAAAATATTACTATTTTTTTTTTTATGGTGTTCACAAAACGCACCATAATAGAAAGAGGAATATTTCCTTTAATTGGAACGTCATCTGAATGACTCAACCACATCGTCACCCACGTAAGCGGAAAAAAAAAAAAAAAAAAAAAAAAAAAGAAAGCATAATAAATAAATAAATAAATAGACAAGAATATGTAACACTTTACATCCTCAAAAGAATCACGGCGTTCCCTAATCTACCCAGATACTGATCGACGTGGTGGGCTCGCTCTCCTCAGCCAGCTCAGTTGCCTGTGATTGTGCCATATTAATGACAAATAAAGTGTTGTTCCACTTTCCACAAGGGAGTAATTTTTTTTTTTTTTTCTTTTTCTTCTTCACCTTTTAAATATAGGAATTCTCTCTTAAATTAGAAAGTAGGCAAAAAGTCTTTTTTTTTTTTTAAATTTTTCATTTTTAAGTCTTCTATTAGAAAAAATAGAGATTTATTCAACAAAAAATAATAAGGTAGAAAGAAGGGTTGGGCCTCCATCAAAAAAGTATATTATGCTTTAATGCAAAGAGAAAGAAATGGCTCTATGGGCAAAATTCAAGTATGAGTGACCAGTTTTTTAATCGTAAAGTAGGTGCAACATTTTTTAAAATGTTACAACACCGCATGACCTGTAATGCTCACAATATTTACATTAACTGCTTACATGAAACCATAAAAACTCTAAAAGAGAGAGAGAGAGAAAAAAAAATAAAAATAACTGGTATGGACTGAAACAAACTACTCCTAGCACCCACAGCAATGCCATCATCAACCAGTGAAACCAAGTGCACAAAAAAAAAAGTACTTTACACGGTCTAAACTGATGTAAAGTAGACATCGGTGAGGAAGTACAAACCTAAAGGAGTCAAAATGCCAAAAGAAGGGTCGGTCGATACAAACTGGGCTCTAGGAGAGAAAGTGAAGGGGGGGAAGGAAGGAAGGAAAGGGGTAAGGAAGGAAAGGGGGAAGGATGGAAGGAAGGAAGGAAGGAAGGAAAGGAAGGGAAGGAAGGGAAGGAAGGGAAGGAAGGGAAGGAAGGGAAGGAAGGGAAGAAACTCCAGCTTCCCGCTTGTGGCCACAGAACTGCCCCAAAGCCTTTACCAGCTCCACAACACA